AAGGGAAGCACCTGTCCACTGCTCGGGAAACAAACATGTTCAGTGCTGCTACGTGACCTGTTAACTTCTGAATGTCCCTTTCGCACTTAGGGGCCTCCATACTTATTAAAGCTTGGATTTTATCAAGATTTGCCTCTATCCCTCTGTGCGTGATCATAAAACCCAAGAATTCCAGATGCCACCCCAAATGCACACTTTGCAGGGTTGAGCTTCATGTTGTACCTCCGTAATAGCCAACACTTCCTCTAGATTAGAGACATGACCATTCAACTATTTGCTCTTAACCACCATATCATCCACATATGCTTCGACCGTTTTCCCAATTAACTCGGCGAAGATCTTGTTTACCAACCTTTGATATGTTGTTCTAACATTCTTCAGTCCAAAGGGCATGACCCTGTAGCAATAAATGGCTGAGTCTGCCATGAATGAGGTTTTCTCTTGATCTTCTTCTACCATGAGAATTTGGTGATACCCCGAAAAAGCATCCAAGAAGCTATACAGCACATGACCTGACGTGTTGTCTACTAGATTGTCAATTCGAGGTAGAGGATAACTATCTTTGGGGCATGCTTTATTCAAATCTATGAAGTCAATGTAGACTCGCCACTTTCCATTAGCTTTCTTGACCAGAATTACGTTAGCAAGCCAATCGGGATATTGTACCTCCCGAACGAACTTTACGTTAACAAGTTTAGCAATCTCCTCATTTATGACTTCTCGTCTTTCTGGTGCAAACTGCCTCTTCCTTTGTTTCACAGGTCTTGCTTCTGGATTTACGTTGAGTCTATGTACTACTACCTCTGTATTAATTCTTGGCATGTCCTTAACATTCCAAGCGAATACATCAATGTCGCGGGAGAGACAACTTAGTAGTTCAGATATGACTGCTGTATCTAGCCCTCGACCGATTGTCACTCTCTTGTCAAGCTCGAGCTTGACCTCCTTCAATCCTTCTACCAAAGCCAATCTCCTGTGATTTTCGTGCTCGAGCTCGAGCTCTGTAACTTACATGATATCGCTCTTGATTTTTCGAATGCTTGTCACATAACACTGGCGTGCCACTGTTTGGTTGCCTTGAACTACCCTGATTCCATTATTTGTAGGAAACTTCATATCCATGTGGAAAGTTGAGACAATTGCTCGAATTCTGTTGAGCAGTGGTCTCCCCAGTATGGCATTGTAGGCCATCGGAGTTCGGACAATTTCAAAATTGGTGATAAGCCTCACCTGTTTATCTTCTGTCCCCAATGTTAAGGGCAACCCGATGATTCCTTTCGGAGTGATGACAACACCTCCAAACCCTTGGAGAGGTGTTTTGACTGGCTTAAGCTGTTCTATTGAGATCCTCATTTGAACAAAGGCTTCATGAGACAGCACATTAGCCGCACTTCCGTTGTCTACCAGAATTCTCTTAACTTCAAAGTTGGCGATGATGGTCGATATGACCAGAGCATCATCATGAGGGAATGCTATGCCTTCCAAGTCCCCTGTTCCAAAAGTAATGTCCTCCGAAGAACCAAGATCTGATTTCGAGATGATTGGAGGTTGCCTGGCATATTGTTTACGCCCACTACTAGAATCTTTCCCCAAGGATGTACCTTCGACAATGATATTGATAGTTCCTGTGGTTGGTTGTTTGTTTTCCCAACCCTCTGGGCCCTTGTCTTTGTTCTGATTATTCCTTGGGCGCTTGTCATTGCTAACGTAAGAGCCCAAAAAATTTCTTTTTATAAGAGCTTCAATCTCCCACTTCAAGGTGAAATAATCTTCCGTTGTATGTCCATGATCTCAATGGAAATCACAGTACTTACTCTTGTCACGAGTATCAGGTAGAGACTACAATCGAGGAGGCCACTTCAGTTCGTGCGAATCCTTGATCTCCATCAAAATGTTGGACCTCGAGGTGTTCAAATGGGTAAAGGAGGGTGAGGAGGGGTCCTGCCTTGGCCTGACCCGAGGTATATCTTGTCTTAGACTGGATTTATGCGGCCTTTTCTGATCAGATTTTCCTGATGACGAAACTTCTCTTTTTGGGGCCATGATTTCTTCTATATTGATGTATTTCTCAGCTCGTGTGAGTAGCTCAGTTACTGACTTCGGTGGGATCTTAGATAAGGATATCTTGAATGCCTCACACTTAATGGCGTATGTCAAAGCTGAGACTGCGATAGTGATATATAGATCGGGGATCTGAAGGCTTTCTTTATTGAACTTGGTCATGAAACTGTGCAGTATCTCGTTGGGTCCTTAACGCATCTGCATAAGTGATGAGGCTGTCTTTTTGATTCACTTACTGCTTGCAAAGAAAGCGGAGGACTTATTGGCTAAATCTGAAAATGAGGCGATAGAGTTGGTTCCAATGTGGAAAAACAATCTTTAGCTACATTTGTAAGTGTCCGAGGGAAGGCCTTGCACAGTACTGAGTCTGGTATGACCTGTAAGTTCATGATATCGGTGTATATGTTGAGATAATTGATGGGATCAGTTGTCCCATCATACTCCTTTATCCGAGGATACTTGAACATGTCTGGGAGAGGCTATGAGAGGACTTCTGGAGTGAATGGCGTATTGGGGGTGAATCCTGCTGCTGCCTGAGTATTTTGTTGCATACTCGTTGCTATCCCCTCTTGAATAATTTTAACAAGTTTAGCGGAGTCCATTGTAACGGACCTTGAACCTGAAACCACTTGCGGTGCACCTAAAGTCCCAACCCCGCCATCATCATGAGCTGTACGTTGGACTCTAGCTCGGGCATTTACCATAAAACCACCTTCGGGGGTTGGAGTATGTGACGGGTGTGAATTTCTTTAGTTTAACAACTGGGTTAATATAGCAACCTACTGACGAAGCCCCTCAAAAGCTCCGACTGTAACGACAGTTGGAGGAGGTGTTGGTATTTCTGACAATTCTTCTTGAGGGACATGGCATTCCTCAAGAGGAGGAGAATTATCTGGAACAGATGAGCTTGCTGGGGGAAGACCTAAACGTGTATTGAACATGGCTTTTGGTAGCAATTCCCACAGACGGCGCCAATGATGCTACCAAAAAATAGTACCTGAAAGATCTCGATTTAATGATTGAACTCCAAATTTTGATGAACACGAACGACCTTCAAATTCTTGCAACAAAGGCAACGAGGTGTGTGCTCGTTGCCCCTCCGATGATTAAGTCAGACAGGGATTTTAGTGCGTGAAGCTATAAACTGGAGATAATGAAAAACGTTCCTCAAGAATAAGCTCAGGTTATGTATTTATAGGTGCTGGAGATAGAGTCCTAGAAGGACTTAGCCATGTGTGATCCTTATCCTTGTAGGGTAAGGAGACAATGCTTTATTCCAAGTATTCAACCATTGTTTGAGTCGAAAAGGGAATCTAGCTAGGTAAGAATCGTAAGCTGGGTAGAATTCCTATTCCCTATAGGTCTTCAAGAAAGATTGAAGAGTTACCTTACCCCGACCTAAGAGGCCCGACCTTGATTTGGTGACTTTGGAGGATGTCAAGTTTGGGGTTTATTAGTTTGGGGGTCATGGTTAGAGTTCGAGGTTCTATAGATTTGGGGTCATCAATATCCAATTGTCTTAACTTCGAAATTTAAATTATTCTAAGATTGTCATCGTCGTCTTTAAGATTTAGTCATGCGATGTTTTCTATTTTCAGGTCAAAGGAAAGGGAGCAATTGATGTTGTCTGCAATCCTTTAGGGAAGTCTGGAGGTGCTTTGATTCAACAGTTCATGATCTTAACCTTTGCGTCACTTGCGAATTCAACTCCTTATCTTGGAGGCATACTCCTCGTAATTGTTCTTTCATGGTTAGCAGCAGCCAAGTCTATAGATAGCCAGTTTGCTGCATTGAGACAAGAAGAGGAACTCGAGAAGGAGATGGGAAGAGCAGTCGTGAGAATCCCAGTCGTGCCGAGTCCTGCAAGATGGGACTCAGAGAGTGTATCATCTGAAACCTCGTCTATTCGGAATGTGTGATAATATTGTTCCATCACTTGCAATACAGGAGGAACAAGCAAAGATATTAGAACTCGTCAGGCGATTTGAATTGGGATTTACTATCCAAAATTATTGTTAGAACTTATTCCTTTTATAATTTTGTTTAATTTACAAAAATAGTCTACACCGAGGTCGGCCAGCCTGTCACAGACTTAAGCCCCTCTCTTCGCTAGATATGGAACATTTATTTATTCATTTATTCCCATTTAATTTCGATAGATTTATCTTCTTGATATGTAACATTCTCAGATCAAGGCCACTATGTTTTTATCTTTTAGATGATATCCAAGCAGTCGATGAATTCAAGTCTCATTGCCACTTCATTATGAATATTTTTGCTTCCAAAGGAAAAATAGGTTCTAATGGACGAGTAGAATATAAGTACGTACACGTTTTTTTTTTTGCTCTTTTAAGCATTAGGATTTTCTAAACTGAGTTGTTGCTCTGTTTCTAAAGCTTAGGAGCCCCTCTATTGAGCTACTACCAATATTCTTTTACTTCGGATATGCGTAGCATACACATGTATGACACGGTATCATTGTGACCTTCCTGATCAGTCAAGGGTAAGCTCTTGTCTCCAAGGATGGCAATGGTACGAGTCGAGGGTTCCTTCCCATCCTTCGTCTTTGGTAAGGATTTCTGAGAGGCAGGTTGAAATGAGTTCTGGTCGGGAGAATAACAAAATATTTTGTCACCTCTACTTGTTTTTGAGACGATTTTTCAAGTCAAATTGTAAATTTAGTGAGGCCAAATTCCACTTTTCGAGTATGAACGAAGGCCTGCATAAACTTTCATTTTGCTTACGTAGCAATTTTTTTATTTTTTTTGCTAATCAGTTAGTTGATAAATTTGAACTAGGAGCAGCATGAAACAAACTTGTAGACTGAGGGACCTCCTTTGAAAATTTCCTCATCTTCTATGTGGCTAATGTCCAGTTCTTTCTAAGCCAACCCAAAACTAATCGATTTAACCGTTACCACATAACTCAGATTCTCCCGCAATTTTAGAGAGAGAGAGAGAGAGAGAGAGCGAGCGAGCGAGCTCTGTAGAGAGAGAGAGAGAGTGTAACCGACGATGGCGGCTTTGAATATATTATCCCCGCCCTTAAATCCATTGCAGCTGACGACAGACTCTACTTCACTCTCTATCTGTAAATATAATATTAATATTAACTCAATTTGTCAAAAATATGCCTCGGCATCTAATTCTATATGTAAATGTGGAAGAACATTGGCAACAGCTAAATCGAAGCTCTCTTTTATGCCGTCTCAAATGTTTCCTCAGCGTCAGCATTTATCAGGTGATATATGAAACTCTTTTCGGCTAAGCTGGGGGTTAAATTTTGGCTGTTTTTATTTTGATTATTCTGTATTTTTTCAGTTTCAATATTATTTTTTAATTAGTCTGGAGTTGCAGTTCTGACTGTTGAATTTTGATTGTTGTTTATCCTCCTTGATTTTATGGGTTTATTATTTTTTATTTTTATTTTTTTTTATTCTGTAGAAAGTATAACTCATTAGTAAGAAATGATTTATTTAACTGTAGACAAAAAAAATTGGGGATTTTAACTCCTATATTTGACATTTGTCTGTATTCAGATTTGTATAATTAGTTATTCTGTTGTTTCTTATGTGTTATACTGTAATTCACTCTGTTATTTAGATGGATTGAACTCTAGCTTCCTGCCTGCATTGAAAAGAGAAAACTGAAAACAACTTCTTTGAACAAAGAATTGAAGAAAAATCAGTTCTGATTGAATTTTGGTTTTCTATATGAAATTGGAATAGATGATCTGTGGTAAATTGTTTAAAAAAGAGAACTTTAAACATTAGGAATTAGAAACCCTTTATAAATTTCTATTCAAAAGCCAGGCAAGTATTTGAGGCTGGTTAGAGAAGTCTGATATCTTTTTTGTACTGTTGAGATGAATAGCTAGCATATTAAGTTGTTTTTGTTTCGATAGAAAAGCAATAATATCAAAGCTCTCATAAAAAGATTAATCAGAGATGAGCCATAGCCAGTTCCAGGACAATTGCAGGACTTCAGAATTCAGGTTATAGTGGTTTAAGAGTCAGACATGAACTCTATAATTGTTAGCTTTGAATGTGTTGTGTGGAAGCCCCACAAAGTACACAACGAGAGAACCTATCAGAAAAAAATTACATTGTTTGGCAAAACAGTACACAAGATTCATACATAAACTCGCTACAAACTGTTTATATCGAGTTCGGATTCTTTCTCAATCTAGAAATTTTGAACATTCTGCTATGAAGAAAGAACCGATAAATATTTGTGTTCATTTTAGTTTTTTATTTTTCATGATACTGACAAGAAATAGGTAACTATACCTTGGTCATATGATTCCAGTTCAAAAAAAATAAAAATAAAAATAAATCATCTGCAACAGGGTTATAAGTTTGTGTGCGTGTTTTTTTTTTTTTTTTTTTTTTTTTTTGAAAAAAAAAAAGTGGTTTTTTTTTTTTTTTTTTTTTTTTTTTTGAGTAAAAAAAACAATCTATATACCTTCATACTGATGGGGATGTGCTGGTTTGGAAGCCTCAATTTCTTGTAGTTTCTAAAAGCTTCTATTGAATTACTTCTTTTTAGTTTTTTCCTCAAAATACTGTTAAATCTCCTTGCAGGCAGTGGATGTTCATGGATGCAAGATGATTTGGCCTTTTACAATAATGTTGTCACCCATGGAAGGACACGAGGCCCCTTACATTCAGTTTTTCCATCAACAAATGCGCCGGTTTCCTCTGTGAAGGACCTTTTTGATTTTATATGCGCAGGTCCCCTCATAAGCAAAACTAACCTTACCCCAGAGAAGGTGTCCGAGTCTATTGACAAGTGGATATTATATGGATCTCAACTTTGTAGATTGTTTCAGCTCAATGAACTGTTTTTAACCGAGCCTCAGAAAGTGCGAATCTACCATTACTACATTCCAGTCTTCTTGTGGTGTGAGCAAGAAATTTCTCGTCATAATTCTATGTTCCAGGAAGGAGATGATATACCCCCTTTAGTGGTACACTTACATTGTTCAAATAATTTATTTATTTCTTGTCATGTTTGGCATGCTTAAAAGTAATTTAAACTTATCTTTCAGTAAGTTTTTCTTCCTAGCATAATGGATGAGTTACTTTTTTTTACTTATAACTAAAGAAGTTTCTTATTTGAAGGGTAAACTTACTTTCAAAAATAATAATAATAATAATAATTTTCTACTTTGACCAACAAAATAATTATTTATTTCAAATTGTCCTTTTTAACTTAATAACTTTTTTAAGATTAGCAGCTTAGCCAAACATCCAACTACTTCATTTAATTTTTGCTGAAGCCTGAAGGAGCTGATGACAGGTCTGAGGCTGTTGCATAGGTGGACAGTGTCTTAATATCCAGAAATACAATAGAGATTGCCGAAGCTGACATGGTTTTTTTTTTTTTTTTTTATATATTTGTGATGCAGATTGGTTTCAGTGCGCCACAAGGTTGTGGAAAAACAACACTTGTCTTTGCACTAAATTTTCTCTTCCGAATGACTGGGAGGTAGAATACCAAATGGTGATATTTGTTGGAAATATGCCTTATCAGTTATTTTAATGGAACTATAAAAACTAAGAAAAGATACATATTAAATCGCAGGAACTCAGCGACAATATCCATCGACGATTTTTATTTAACAGCACAAGATCAGGTAAATAATTAGAGGGCAACCAAGTCTTACCTCGTCTCTACGAATTTCCCACTGAGATGTAATGTAATACTGATTTCAGGCCAAACTAAGGGATAGCAATCCCGGGAATGCACTTTTGGAGGTATTTTTAACCCTTTGGTGAGACTTGATTATTTCATTTTTTTCAAGGATAGCAAAGATATAACTCTTTGACCTCTCAGTTCCGTGGTAATGCTGGAAGCCATGATCTTGCTCTGTCTATTGAGACTCTAACAGCTCTAGGGAAGTTGACTAAAGAAGGTGTGCACATTGGTCATTATTATTTCAATGCTCATTCTTTCAAAACATATTATAGTGGCATAATGAGGTGCACGTGTATTTACATTCAGGTATGAAAATTAAGCTTCCTCGCTATGATAAGGTAAGCCACACAATGTCAGACTTATTTATTTCAGCCATGTTTGGAATTCGAAGTCTCTAATTTTCTACTTGCAGTCTGCATACAATGGTAGAGGAGACAGAGCTGATCCTTCAACATGGCCAGAAGTTGAGGGGCCTCTAAAGGTTGGTTGATTTTTCTATTTTTGCCGGAATCAGTTTTTGTTATATTTTTTTCTGCCCTACCATCTTGGTTGAATGAGGAAAATTATGGCAGTTGCTGTTTGAATGTGGATTCAATTATTAGTTTTAGTTCTACAGAGTTATTTCCCAATTAGACAGGACTGAAATATAGGTTTTAAGGATCTTCATTGTTCTTTCATTGGTCATTAGGTTGTTCTGTATGAGGGTTGGATGCTTGGTTTTAAACCCCTTCCAAATGAAGCTGTGAAAGCAGTAGATCCACAGGTTCAAATGGCACTTCTTTCCGCAAATTTTCCGTTTACTAGTTCAGTCAAACAAAAGCCATTAAACTAATTCTAAAACTAAATTTTGCAGCTAGAGACCGTGAATAAAAATTTAGAAGCTTATTATGATGCATGGGATAGGTTTATCAACTCTTGGATAGTAATCAAGATTCAAGATCCCAGTTTTGTCTATCAATGGCGATTGCAGGTTGGGTTATGCTGATGCTATCCTTGTTCTAGCTTTTACCAGAGCATCTTTGGTGGAGCTTTGAAAAAAAAAGGATATAAGTTACTTTTAACTCTCTCTTTCCATGCATGTTTGCGTCTTTGGCTGGGCTTGAAAAACAATATAAGTTACTTTTAACTTTCTCTTTCAATACATGGTTGGATGACTTATTTATTTATTTTACTTTATAAGTAAAAAGTTGCAAATAAGTAAATTATTTCCCATTTTCACCAATGAAAAGAAGTCATTTATTTAAAAACTTGTGGTACTTGTGATTAAACAAGCTTAGCAAAACATGCTGTAGATGTTATATCATGCAGTAATTATTTAACTAGTCGTGTGGGGTATCTTCAGGCTGAAATTGCTATGAGGGCTGACGGGAAGCCTGGAATGTCCGACGAGGAGGTGCATTTAGTTTACTTTTGTAGACACTAGACAGTATAATTAATACTTGCAAGAATCGTGACATACAATTTGATTTAAATTTTTTTTCCCTTGGTCTTGTGATTATAGGTTATGGATTTTGTTTCACGATATTTGCCAGCATACAAGGCCTACCTCCCTACCCTCTACTCGGAAGGACCAAATGGTTCAAATCCTGGGCATTTGCTTGTCGTCGAAATTGATGAAGGCAGGAATCCCATCCTTGCAAATTAGGTAAGCATGAATCAGAAGATCAGCAGGATTTTATTTATTTATTTATTTTTGGAGGAGAAGGAATTTACATGCTGTTAAATGCTCTTTTATTTGTTATTAACGTAAATTCATTCTGCGATATGTTTTTTTCATTGATATATTCAGTGGCGAATCTAGCATCAATGTTCAGTTAGGGCGGAGGTTGACTTTGACGGTTGACCGTCGACAATCAACGATTGTAAAAGTTTGGTCCGATCGGCAGCCGATTATTTATTAAAATTAGATTAAATGATATTAAAAATTATTTAATATATATGTAAATGCACTAAAATCTAGAAATTATATTTATATGAAAATATAGTTCATTTCGGATCATCACAGAAGATGTGTGGATCAGCAATTATGAGCCTCAAACCAATTCAATCTTTCATTCCGAACAAAACATTTATTGATTGAATCAGTGAAATATGCATGAATAATTTTATTTTTTTTCTAATAAATTGATTTAATAAACTACTTAATGGAGATTGAATTAAAAACTTCAATGGTTTATATCATTAGAATATTTTATTGGACTCTTTAATTCCAACTAATAAATTAATAAATAATAATGGACAAAAATAAGCATTAAAAAATGACATAATTCGTATTTTATTTATGTCATCCCCATCCATATTATATCTTCACAAATTACAAATTGATATTATAAAGTAAATGCCCAACCTCAACAATTTCTAAATCATCTATTATCTATATATATCAAAGAAAGCTGAGCAAATATTGAAAAATTGTCCAAGACTCCAACTTCACGTCTTCACCACTCACTGACTTACCAACAAAAAGTAAACTTTGAAACAAATAAAACTTGGCAATTGATATGAAATATTAAAAATTGGTTACAAATTAACAAGCGACATAGAGAAATAGAGAATAATGTATTTATTCAAGAACAGCTGAACAGGTAAAAAGCCTATAATAATACCGATTTTGACGGGAAGGAAATCGGAAATGGCCAAACGGGACTGATTCGGGAGGGAAAAGGAAAGCTTGTTGTTCGTTGGCTCGTTGCTGCTATGGCCTATGGGTTGCCTGCTGATGCTGGAGTGCTGGTCAGCTGGTCGGTCCTCTCCGACTCCGAGTCTCCGTTTGCGAACTGCAAAGGGCGAAGTGCGATTTGCCCTAGTTTGCTGGCGGTAGAAGGTAGTGGAGTAGTTTGGTCAATAATGTTTAGGCTTTTAGTTGAAGGAATAATTTGGTTATATGGTAATGGATTGGAGAATGCTCATTTGGGCTTCTTGAGCTTGATTTTTAAAAAAAAAAAAAAAAAAAAAGAGGCCGAAGCCAAAAACATTTGAAACTGCCGGCAGCTGTAGCACAGGCACACTGCGCACAAACAAGAAAATGTCATCTGAAAACAAACCAGTTGGCAGTTAGCCCATCATCCACTCCCAGCAGCCAACGATTCAGGCCAAGCCAACTAGGGCGGCCGTCCTAGCTGGCCAATAGCTACATCCGCCACTGGATATAGTTATTATCACATTTAAACATGTGAATATTCAAAATAGTAATGCCTATTTCACTTGAAATTCTCCTTCCACCTTACTGAAACCAAAGGCTTATCAATGCTTTTACAGTGTTTGATAAGTTCTCTTGTCCACTGTATAGTCGAGTCCTGTCCGTGGAGACAGATTTTGTTAAAAATGTTCACTGCTAGGCTAGCTGGGTTGGATGGAGCTGTAAAGTAAGACACTATGATTCATATTTGATGTTTTCCTTTTGTACTGATAGCAGAAACTTTTCCAACCAACAAATCTAGAGCCCGAGACCAACAAATCTAACTCTCTCAAGTATCAATATTATTGTGACAGACTATTACTCTTCTCTTCACATGAGTAAGCTAGTGTTTCTCAATACAAAATCGACTACATAGCACGTTACTAACTAGATTTGACATCATCAAGTACTCGGTCGATTGTCATATTAAATCAATTCTCTTTGGCACATCATATTTAACCATGACATCAAAACCACCAGTTCCATTCATGTTCAAGATGTCAACACAAATATCTTCGTGTCTCTACATATTAATCCACTAAACTTTCTTTTCAATATTTTCTTGTGGGTTTTATGGATCCATAGAGCTTCAATTATTAGGTTAGGTGCCATGTTTAAAAATCTCAATCTCTTAGACCCCTATCCTATATAACTAGTATGTTTTTTTAATCCCAACCTACTCCAATGCAGTGAGTGCTAAACAGCATCCAATAAAATGCGTGCGTGCGTGCGTGCACAAAACCTTGTTGACAGCACTTGAGTAATGCATGGAAAATTTTCATCTACACTTCACTTTTAATATGGGAACCAGCTCTGCTATAATTTGGACTGCCATCAAATTTTCCACTTCCATTTTGCCTTATCACCACATTAGATATATAAACTTTAAATTTAGAGTTGTATTTAGTGAAGGTTAATATTAGAATAGATAATTGGTAATTTGGTGAAGTGGGCTATAGTAGAAGAAAAATAAGTAATTTTGTTTATTGTGCTTCTTAGTTGTGTCAATTGAAGAAATATTTTAACATATATGTACAATGCAAACATGTTGCATGCTTAGAAAATGCGATAACGACGACGTAATAAATAGATTGCTAACACCAATGGCTTAAGAAATTGGATTATCACCTACGACTTGATCGATAGAAATTAATTATCTAATAACGATTAATTACCAAACCACAAAGGCACTAAGCCCACTGTGAGTTGGATCACTTAACCGCACTTCATAATTTAAAAAAAAAAAAAAAAAACACCATGAAAATATATACAGCTCAACCAATATTTTATTTTACACAATAAACCTAGACGAGATTTAGTCACTAATATATCAATTACAATGACAAAATAACTCTCACATTGTAGAAAATGTGAACTTTTTGTTATTTTCAATAGTGATGGAGCACTACGAATGCAAGATATATAATATTTCATTAAATATCACATCTAGAAATGAAAGATGTAATCAATTGATCATTCGATTATAAATCCTTGTTACTTTGACCCAAAACGAAAGCATTAGCAAGATGCCATTTAAAACTTTGGGTGTATTAATTAGCACTATTAGTCACTTACATTTAAATAATATATATATATATATTTCATTTTTTGACATTTTTGTCCTTACCTTCCACATTTCTAGGCTCAGAAAGTCATTTTCGTCAGTTTTTGACGATTTTATCCTCCATTCAAATAAAACAAAAGGAAAAGAAAAGAAAATTAAAGAATTAATTGCAACCATAGTCCCAATTTTTCAAAAAAAAAATAACATTTAAAATCAAAATCACCAAAACACCCCATCCAAGCCACCATCCTCTTCCCCACCCAATTCTTAGTTGCAAGTCATTATCCTCATTGTCCTCCATTGCAAAGATTCTTTCTGCACTTCCAACTCACTGTCCTCCACAGTCGGTTTACTGGCCATTTATGCCTTCTAGGAAAAGCATTCTATTATTTCAAAATTCTTTAAGATTGAAGTCATACAAGCATTAAAAAAAAAAAGTCTTAATTTCACCTTTTACTAAGCCCAAGAGAGCCTCTCCAAGTGTAATTGTCAATTCTCTGCTGAATTTCCCAATCATTTCTTCACAAGATCATTGGGGCACTTGGACTGCCCTTTTCGTCACTAGAGCTTTCGGCATCTGGTAAACGCAAATATTCATGGTAATAAAATAAAAATAAAATGTGGGTCCTAATTAACTTCACTTTTTTGTTGCTTGATCAATTGAAGGTCGTAAAAAACCAAGATTAGGACTGCGTTGAGTGGTGCATTGGTTAGTACTTTAGTGGGTTTGGCTGCTTGTAATCTGGGAATTATAGCAAGTGAAGCACCAGCAATCTGGGTTTGGTTTGGTGGCTAGGGATGGGGTGATTTGGTGATTTTTATTTTAAGCCCCTGTTTGGCTCCATTACGGGGAAAATTTAATGTATAGAATAGTGTTTTTTGAAAAATGAGTGGTTGAAAAAGAAAGAAAAATTTTCGATTTACGTGTAATATTATTTTATGGAAGATTGTGTGGTTGAAAATAGGAGAGAGAAAAATAGAATGTAATGTAATGAAAATCAAACAGGAGCTAAATGTTATTTTTTTGAAAATTTGGGATTGTAGTCGCAATTAGTTCTTTATTTTTTTTTTCCTTTTATTTTTGTTGTATTTGAATGGAGGGTAAAATCATCAAAAATCGATGAAAAGGACCTTCTGCGCAAATAAATGTGGAAGTAGGGGCAAAAATGTCAAAAAATAAAAAATAATGACATTTTCTACAATAAATTGGAAAGATAAGAACGTTTTGTACTAATTACTCTATATAACAAATTACAAGTCAAAAAGTGGCGAACGTTTCAATCAAACTCTTTCATGTCATGGGGTTATGTTGGGTTGCTCAATTATTGTATGAATCAGGAAATGACTGTTTTCTTTATACAGTGTTCAATTTTGACTTTATCATTAAATAATTAATTTCTTTTGCACACATCACCTTGCAACTTTTAGAAAATACTAAAAATATTAAAATATCAATACAAAGAAAAATAATATTTTTACGAAATTCAAAATAAAATCTAAAAAGTAACATGGATCGCACGTCGACTATAACTAGGGTTAAAAGCTCTCTCAAGGACAATATATCCCCCGTTTGGTCCCATTATTTCAAATCATAATGTGTGAATAATATTTTTTGGAGAATGAGTGATTCAAAAGGAAGAAAAAAATTTCAATTTACATATATTATTATTTTATAAAAGATCGTGTACTTAAAAATATGAAAGAGAGAAATGAAATTTAATTTAATGAGGCAAACGGGAGCATATATATCTAAATAATTTAACAGACAAGTATGCTTAAAAATATGTGCATAAATAATTTGTTAATTTTCGAATTAACTAAGAATGCGTGAATAAAGATATCTTTGTATTATACTAATTCAATATAAAAAATATTAAATACAATTTTTGTGTTGGAATTATTCATCGATCGAGTTATACGTTGAGATGACTCATCACTCACATAACCTAATCCCTCTAAGTAATGCTGCTGTACAGTCAAACAAGCACCAAAAGGAAAATGGGGCAATAGGAGTAAATAAGAAAATAATCATAGCAATTTTGATGTAAATGCTGCACTAATGCAACTGATAATATCTAAGTCGATGTTTGATGGGGATTCAAAATTAAATTTTTAGTAGATTTTGATTAAAAAAATTGTTGTACCTATGAAATATGTGGTTAAGATTAATTGTTGATTTTGATTTAAATTGAAATCTAAATTTTAATTTCTACCAAATAGGGGCTAAGAAAGAAATATATTAAAATTATTATTATTTTAATTTACTTAAATTTATTAAATTCAGAGTTGTTTACATGAATCCTTCTTTTTTGTTATTTTATCTTGAGAGATTTATCGGGAGATTTAATTAAATTCTTAAAAATTTTAACAATCGAAGTTAACGTCCACTTTCTTTTAACTTGGACAATCAAGATCGTGTTGTTCATATAAGCGGATCATAAGATATAACGGAATTTTATGCTGATTGTTAATTTATCATGTCCTTAATTTAATTTAGGACTCGGGATGATAATCAGAGCTAAAGTACTAATTAAACACACCAAAACTTCATATTGGAACATCACCACAACTATTAATTTACCTACCTTTGGGATTAATATTCATGCAAGTTGATCTTTGACAAGAAAAAGTGAGAAATGTTAGTGTTCTAATCCCACAAACACCTAAAATTTAGTGCATGATTAATTTTATATTTGTCGCCTTGTTAACGTGTAAACCTCATGCAATTTCATTGCTTAAACAAAAGATTAGGTGGAGAAGATTATGGGCCACTATTTCTAAATTTCTTAATCATGTTCATGTTCATGTTCCTTTTCCTTTCCACTTTCGTTTATACATAGTAACATCGCCATTTCCTCTACTTAAAGTCTAAAACGCCCAAAATTATCACTATCTATACATAAATGATGCATACAAACTCTGGATTTTCATTTTTCTTGATGCTGCTGCCACAGTATCCTGTGAAACTAGCACAAATGGTTATTTTTTATCTGTTTTCTTTAATATTGGCAATGGATATTACAGTCAGTGGATGGAGAACTGGGGTTGATAGTTTGAATATGAATTATTACATGATGAATTGTCCGTTTGCTGAGGGAACTATAAAGAATACTGTTAATAGAGCTTTGCTATCTGATCCTACTCTTGCTGCAGGCCTGGTCAGGATGCATTTCCATGACTGCTTTATCGAGGTTCTCTCTCTCTTTCTCTCTCTCACAAATTTTGAGCCGTCTGCATGAATTTTTTTTCCACGATGTGATAAAGTTTTGCGCTATCTATTAACCTATCACAATCTTCTTCCATTATCTGAACTCGAGACATGCTACGGAGACAGAAAAAGGATAGCATGAGCTACACACTGCGCACACAATTATTAGGTTGAACCCCAACCTTAAGGGTCCCCCACCACCCCTGCCCTAGAGCATCGTGAGGGAGGTAAATCGTAGGTTATGCCTCCAAAGGTACAGGGTGGAAGGCTGCTTGTATACTTGCACTTACCCAAGAGCCAAATTCATATTTCAGGATTCGAACCCTTGACGCAACAGCCTCAAGCAAAGCTGGATTTCTCCACCCCCCTTTTACCACTTGGAGATGTGCCCTGGGGGCCACCGCGCACACAATTATTGAATGCGTGTATGGATGCTAACGTTTATTTATTGTTTTTTTTCTATGTTGTTGAAATAGGGATGTGATGGATCAGTACTACTCGAGTCAAAAGATAATACATCAGAAAAAAACTCCCCAGCAAATTTAAGCTTGAGGGGCTATGAAATAATCGATCAAGCCAAGGAAGAACTTGAAATGCAGTGTCCAGGAGTTGTTTCTTGTGCTGACATTCTTGCAATGGCTGCAAGGGATGCTGTTTTCTTTGTAAGATTTGTCAAAACTAAACTCTCCTTTGGATTTGTGTAGTTGGAAGTGTTGGGAATTTTATGTCAGTTCCTTTATTTCTATTTACCCACAGGATCTTTTATTGTTTAAGAGAATATTAGCAAATTGGAAAAATAAAGAATATAACGTACAAATTAAATAGACCGTAAAAACTTTTCACAATATGAAAAATTGTTATAATCATATAGAATTTCACTCACCAACCCAATTCCCAAGTATTACAAATAAAAATATAAATTCGAGCTTTACTGCACCTACTTCTCTATCCAATGTACAAAAAGTCTCAAAATACTAGATTCACAATATTTTTCTTTCAAAACTCTCTGGCCACACCCAAAATAATAAAATACATCCAGTATTTATAGGATGAATAATCAAGTAGAAGAGTTTAATTTAAACTTAAACAATACTTTTTTAACTCAACAAGGATTCCTTCATGTGCAAGACTTCAAAATCGGCTCTAAATTGGAGACCAAATTCTGCAATATTTATGCTTTCAACTTTAATTAGAAGTTCTCTATGCAATAACTACATTTTATCATTTGCAATAGAAGTTCTCCAATTTTTGACTTTTGAGGCAATTATCCAACAGGAAGTAACTTATGAGTCTGAAGTTCATTTTACAAAATACATCTTTCTCTTTCTTCTTTTCAACCACACAATTTTCAATAAAATAATATTATATGCAAGTCTAAAACTTTTTCTTATTTTTTAACCACACATTCTCCATCAATCTACTATTCAAAAATGCATTTTTAGCATTTTAATGGGGCTCAAACAAGCTCTTATAGGCTCCGTTTGGTAGCCATTTTTTCAAAATGCATTTTTCTCTCTCTTCTTTTCAACCACACATTCTTTATTAAAATAATATTACACTTAAATAAAAAAAAATTCATTATTTCTCAACTAAACATTTCACATCAATTTATTATTCTAAAATATATTTTTACATAAAAATGTCTATCAAACACCCCCATAATTCAATCAAGTCATCCTATCCTTTTGTATTAGGCTGGAGGGCCAGTGTATGACATACCTAAAGGAAGAAAAGACGGAAGAAGGTCGAGAATGGAAGACACGATCAAGCTTCCTTCACCGACCTTAAACAGTTCTGAGCTTATAAGGATGTTTGGGCAACATGGCTTTACTGCTCAAGAAATGGTGGCTTTATCTGGTAAATAACTTACAATTTCTATCAAATTATAATCAAATCTTCAAATATAGTGGTCTCAGTTCTTGATGGTTTTGATTAATAATAGGGGGGCACACACTAGGAGTGTCAAGATGTTCATCATTCAAACACAGATTGAGGAACTTCGATACCATTAATGATGTGGATCCTACATTGGACAAAAATTTTGCAAAAACACTGTCCAAAACATGCAGTGCAGGGGACAATGCTGAGCAGACCTTCGATTCAACGAGAAACAGTTTTGACAATGATTATTACAGAGCACTGCAGAGGAAAAATGGTGTACTTTTTTCTGATCAAACTTTGTTTGAAAGTGCAACAACTAGAGGAATTGCGTATGGTTATGCTCTGAACCAGGCCATGTTCTTCCTAGATTTCCAACAAGCAATGGTGAAAATGAGTATGCTTGATGTTAAAGAAGGGTCGAAAGGGGAAGTGCGAAATAACTGTCGTCTAATTAACTAATGTGTATGTAGAGGGTCGCTTTAGTACATTTTTGTAAATTCTTCTCATGATAGTGTTGTTACCTTTACTCCTACATTGTTTTAATGAAGATGCTTTGACATACGTGAATTTCTTGAGAATCAATTGATGTTTTGAACAATTAGGGGATAATGAATTCTTGGCCCTCGTCGACGTATTCTTGTTAATGATCCAAACATTCTCCGGCTTGAACAACATAATTAAGCAACTAATATTCACATAACCAATAATCTCTATACCTAGAATGCAAAAAGTTTTTTGATATCTTTCATTTCAAAATGGCTAAACACAGTATGTGATATATATCCCACAATATATCAATATCATCATATGTGAGTAAATCATCTACCTATAACATGAAAATTATGAATCTATTCCCATTAGCATCAAGGTACGTATGTTTATCAACTAAACATTATTGAGATAACTCGTAAAAAAAAAAAAATTTTCAAAAATCTGATATTTTACCATTTGGAGTAAAACAAGAATCGAGTTAAAAATAATTGTGGTGATGACGGCGACACAAAACTTATCCGAATTATTTTCCCTAAATTGTGTCACAATTCACCATACTGTGATTCATAAAATGGAAAAAGTCAAAAACTGAAATAGCAATATTGTTGTTAAAGAATTTCCACATAGCAACAATAAAAAAATGGGATCACATACTCCTCTGTCTACAACTACCCTCCAATCGCCAAGAGAAGTTCCCTTCTATCAGTATAGTAATTTTAAAGTCACTATTTTTCTCAATTTATTCATCAATACAAAGGTTTGTGATTTTTTCCCCCTGATCTTTCAATATTATGTATGTTTCCCTGTTAGTACTATGCTTAAATTTGAATGATTTTAGTTGTTCTAGTTCATTTTTTTGATATTGCAGGTAAAAATGGCTCAGATTCTGTTTCATGGGACTCTTCAGGTTACGATCTTTGAAGTTGACAGGCTGCACGGTGATGGAGGTGGTGGTGGTGGTGTGCATTTCTTCCGCAAGGTATGACTTTGAGTTCAAAATTCGATTGATCGCATTCCATTTTTGGCTTTTGATTATTATTGCATTGCTTGGTTTTATTTTTGTGAAATATATTATTTTTATGTATACGAACGTAGTTAAATTTCTTTAAAGTGTGCTTTGCCTGAAAACCATTGAAAAAATGTGCATGATTGACTGATTGGCACTGTTTCCTTTTCCATTGTTGCTCTTTTTAAGTCGGGTTCGATCCATCTTCAGGGATCGTTAAGGTTTGATTCATACTTTTTGATTCAGGTTACTTCAAATCTTAGGACTCTTCGATGTGCAGACAAATTTTATTTATAAACTTCTTTCATGTGATATGAGGATCATCGTTTGAAGGATGTGTTAAAGGAAATGTTTTATTCTGTTGTATTTAACGGCATTCTTCAATTGTATTCATATTCTTGATTTTGTGTTAACTGTTTCATTTGCTTTTGTTCTTGTTTTTCATTGGCGGAATATTCTTGCAGATGATGGAGAACATTGAAGATAGTCGGTTTCGGAAAAGGAACTCCCAAAATTTATGCTACTATTGATTTGGAAAAGGTAAGAGTTGGGAGGACTAGAATGATAGAAAATGAACCTAACAACCCAAAGTGGTACGAGTCTTGTCACTTGTACTGTGCTCATATGGCGTCAAATGTGATATTTACTGTTAAAGACGATAATCCCGTCGGTGCAACTTTAATTGCAAGAGCTTATGTACCAGTTCATGAACTCTTGGAAGGGGAAGAAGTAGATAGGTGGGTTGAGATATTGGATAAAGAAGAATCCTATAAGTGAAGGTTCTAAGATCCATGTGAAGCTGCAGTATTTTTTATGTCTCTCGGGATCGTAACTGGGCTCATGGAATTCGAAGTTCTAAGTATCCAGGGGTGCCATATACTTTCTTTGCTCAGAGAACAGGATGTCAGGTTTCTTTGTACCAAGATGCTCCTGTACCGGACAAATTTATTCTAAAAATCCCCCTATCTGGAGAAAAGAATTACGAGCCTCACAGAGGTTGGGAAGATGTTTTTGATGTGATAACTAATGCCAAGCACTTAATTTACATTACTGGCTGGTCAGTATACACTGAAATCGCCTTGGCAAGGGACTTGAGGAGGCAAAAATCAGGAGAAGACATTACTCTTGGAGAACTGCTTAAGAAAAGAGCAAGTGAAGGTATTAAAGTTCTTCTGCTTGTTTGGGACGACAGAACCTCAGTGGGTCTGTTGAAGAAAGACGGTTTAATGGCTACTCATGATGAAGAGACGGAAATCTACTTCCAAGGTACTGATGTACATTGTGTCTTATGCACTCACAATCCAGATAATGGCGGAAGCATTATTCAGGACATGCAAATATCTACCATGTTTACTCATCACCAAAAGATTGTAGTGGTGGATAGTGACATGCGTGGTGGAAGATCGCAAAAGAGGAGAATCGTGAGTTTTGTGGGGGTCTTGACCTCTGTGATGGAAGATACGACACCCCCTTCCATTCACTTTTCAGGACACTGGATACTGCCCTCCACGATGATTTCCATCAGCCGTATTTCACTGAGTCTGCACTCACGAAAGGTGGACCAAGAGAATCATGGCACAACATTCATTCTCGTTTGGAAGGACCAATTGCTTGGGATGTTTTATTTAATTCCGAGCAGAGGTGGAAGAAACAAGGAGGGAAGAACATATTACTTAACTTGAGAGAGCTCGATGATATTATTCCTCCATCTCCAGTGATGTTTCCAGATGACCGCGAGACATGGAATGTTCAGTTATTCCGATCTATTGATGGCGGAGCAGCTTTTGGATTCCCTGAATCGCCGGAAGAGGCAGCAAGAGCAGGTCTTGTTAGTGGGAAGGATAATATAATTGACCGGAGCATTCAAGATGCATACATTAATGCTATACGTTGAGCGAAGAATTTTATATATATAGAAAACCAGTATTTTTCTTGGAAGCTGTTTTGGCTGGCATTGCAAAGATATCAAGTTTGAACTTTGAAGACATCGGAGCTCTTCATCTCAAGATTGAGGCTGGAGAAAGGTTTACCGTCTATATTATAGTCCCAATGTGGCCTGAAGGGATTCCAGAAAGCGCATCAGTTCAGGCTATATTAGATTGGCAGAGGAGGACAATGGAAATGATGTATAAGGATGTAATTCAGGCCCTTCAAGCTAAGGGCATTGAGGAGAACCCGAGAAATTATTTTACGTTCTTCTGCCTTGGTAATCGCGAGACAAAGAAGAGTGGAGAGTATGAACCATCAGAATGATTCTGATTATCTAAAAGCTCAGAAGGCTCAGCGCCTCATGATCTATGTTCATACCAAGATGATGATAGGTAAGCATTGGCTTTATAATGTAATTGTTATATGCTACTGTGTAATGTGTTGATGATCTTTTGTCTTTCACAGTGGACGATGAATACATAATTGTTGGATCAGCCAACATCAGCCAAAGATCAATGGATGGTACAAGGGAATCTGAGATAGCCATGGGAGTGTACCAACCATATCATTTGGCTACAAGAGTACAAGGCAACCTGCTGGGGGTCAGATTCATGGTTTTCGTATGGCACTATGGTACGAACACCTTGGTATGCTCGACAACACTTTCCTCCACCCCTAAGCCGGAAACTGAGGAATGTGTAATGAAGGTGAACCAGATTGTTGATAAATACTGGGATCTCTATGCCAATGAAAATCTTGAACGTGATCTTCCTGGTCACCTCCTTTAGGGGCGGAGCCAGAAAATTAGGTTAGGATGGGTTAAAACTTAAATTTTTTTAATGAACTTACGCTATAAGAAATCGAGTTTTCGAGGCTATTTTTGTGACATTCACCATAAAAAGTATACGACAATTAATGAAATTAACAAAAAAAAAAAAAAAGGTTTAGATGTCTCACATTAAGATATTCAACTAAATCTTTGTAATTTTTTACCAAATAAAAAATCAACACTTACCTTATAAAATATAAGCTAACCGAATCATGATTGAAATAAACAAAAATACATATCTACCATTGAAAATTTAAAAAAATTACTTAATGAGTACTCTTTTAGTAATTTTAATCATAGTATCTATTTTATGGTCAAAATAAGTATTTTTTTTTAAAATGTATTAGTAATAAATGAAAACATATGTATTAATAAAAAAAATCAATTACTTTTAAATTTAGAAAAATACATGTATCTCAAACTATTAAAATAAGTAATTTTCCTTTTAGATGTAATCAATACAAATAATCTATAATAAAATTTACTTAATAATTATAAGTAAAATTTATTTAAACATGCATTAAATAAAATATCTAATTTGACAATAAAATATTCATATTTCATGAATGTCATGAAAAGAGTAATTAATAATTGTAGCGTCTTTAATACAATTTGAATAGTTGGGCAGTGGACGTGGGTTGAGATTTAAACTAAAGTTGGGCTAATGCTAATATTTGAGCAAAAGTTCTACAATTTCATTTTAGATATTTATATGGGGGAGCTGGGCTAATGTTGATTTAAACCAAAATTCTTCAATTTTATCTTAAATACATATATGGGCTAGGGGATAGTGCTGGGCTCACTACCTCCGCTATCCCATTGGTATTGCTAGTGAAGGAAACGTCACGGAACTGCCAAGATTGGAGTTTTTCCCCGACACCAAAGCTCGTATTCTTGGATCTAAATCTAACTACCTTCCACCAATCCTTACTACCTAATGAGGTACTACAATTGGATTGTCATTTTTAAGAAATACTGGTGTTTGTAACAAATAAGAAATAGTTTTAGTGCGACATCTTATATCTTCTAATTTGTACATGAGAGTTGGTGACACTGAAAACTGACTCGATGCAACTAGTAGTATTAAATGGTCTAATCACTTTTTTTTGAGCTATGTTAGTTTTACATAACAAATGTTGCTCATTGAAGTTCAATGTTCTTCCTTGGATTATTAACTTAGAATAACTATTGAATTATCTTCACGTTTTTCACTGGATCAGATTTTCTAGCCTATTAGGGAAAATGGTATTTCAGAAGGCGGAAGCGACCAGGATGGGCGGTCTATATTTCTTCTACCATGTTAATTTTCATAAAATCAACGTGCGTTGAATCGATCATGATTCGTCAGGATTAACAACTAATAAAGTAGATAACCTAAATCACGGAATCTAGTTGGGGGTCCTCAAATGTGGTCCATAAGAAACTGAAAATCACATGGTAGTGTCCAAAATGCCAAAATCAAAACACACACACACACACACAAAGACACTTATCAAATTTCAATATTTACTTGACAAATGTATTTTGAACTTCCAATCCTTGGATTCTCGTGGTCACTCCACACACTTGTCTCTGTCCAATTGGAGAAAGTGAAAATTAGGTCAAGAACATGGGGTCGTTTTATGAAATATGATTGCAGTGCAGGACACTTGGCTAATCCACAAGAGGGATGTTGAGAATCCGTGTAAAAGAACCTTCTATGGATATGATAGCCATTATTATATTCCTTTTCCATTTTCCTTTTTAAAGAAGTATGAACTCGTGTACTTAAATGAGTTATTAAGCCCCAATTTGACCATAATTATTTGGAAAAAAATAATATTTTGAAAGGATAATATGTTGTTAAAAAGTAGAAAAAATTTTGGATTTATGTACAGAATATTTTTCAAATAATGGTTGTCGAGCTAAATTATTCTGGTCAACAACTGGAATGATTGAATGGTTTGAAAATACTGAACTTTTTTCTAATCTATCTATAGATCCTTCAACATAGAAATCAACAAGGTTCTATGTAACAAAAAAGCATGAATCATGCATTTAATTGATAGCTAGATGTAAACGTGTAAAACAGATCAAACCCAGTTGACAATTCATCAAGTTAAATAGATTTATTTTTTTACTCTTCGTTTTCTAGTTAATATTTAGAAAAACAAAATAAGAGTTAAAATGGTTCTCGTCTAAAAATTTAGATTCAAATTCAACATAATGTGTCTCTCAAAGCGAATGAATCTATGAAACAATGGCCTAGTGGGCTGTGGGCACCGTTCCATACCCAAGAAAGACTAAAGTTTTGACCACTGCCAAACACTTCCTCTGCCGTGCGAGGTGCACTACGAATAAGCAAAACCCAAATTCCAATTTTGTCCCGACGAAGCTTTTGTAAAGTTAAAAGTTGCTTTTGAAAATAAGAAATTGATTTTAAATATGTTTAGATACCTTTTTGTAAGTGTTTTGTTATATTAAAAGAGCTTTTAAATGAAACCGATATAATTTAGCTATTTTTGAAAATTCTTTTGTGAAAAAGCAGAGAAACCCTACATAATTTCTAGAGTAATGCTACTCGTAGTTGTTCGCTACGATAGTCGCCCTATGTGGCACATATATAGTAATTAGTTATTTGATACATTAATGTTAGTTTTTTATTTGTTTATGCATTAAATAATTACTTACCATGTGTATATCACGTAGGACAATTGTCATAGTGAGCAATTGTAAGTAACATTATTCTAATTTCTATGATTATACAAAGGTTAATGCGTTACTAAGTCCCTCTTTGATAATTATTATTTGAAAAAAATAATATTTTGAATAATGATTTTTAAAAGAATAAGTGATTAAAAAGAAGGAAAATTTTTTTGGTTTAAGAGCAATACATTTTATTTTTTAAATATGTGATTGGAAATAAATATGTATAAAAAAAATTGATTTTGAAATAATAATTGTCAAACATCACTAAATTATTGTAGTCAACAATTGGAATAATTAATGAGTTTGAAAATACCAAACTTTTTCTAACCTATCCATAGATCCATCGACATAGATATCAATAAGGTTTCATGTAACAAACAAGCATGAATCATGCATTTAGCCCCCGTTTTGGCCTTCATTAAATTTCATTTCATTTTCATCTTTAATATTTTAAACTATACAATCTTTTATAAAATAATATTACACGTAAATCAAAAAAAATTTCATTCTTTTTCAACCATTTATTTTTAAAAAAAAAACATTATTTCACCAATTTTCATTTCAAATAATGGGGATCAACGGGGACTTAATCACGTAAACGTATGGAACAGATCAAACGTAGTTGACAAGTCATCAAGTTAAATGATTTTTTTTTTCTAGTTAGTATTTAGAAAAACAAAATCAGAGTTAAAATGGTCTTCGTCTCAAAATTTAGATTCAAATTCAACATAACACGTCTCTCTAAGCGAATGAATCTATGAAACAATGGCCTAGTGGGCACCCTTCCATACCCAAGAAAGACTAAAGTTTTGACCACCGCCAAGCACAATTCCTCTGCCGTGCAAGGTGCACCACCAATAAGCAAAACTCAAATTCAAATTCGGTCCCGACGGAGCTTTTGTAAAATTAAAAGTTGCTTTTAAAAATAAGAAATTGCTTTTGAATATATTTAGATAATTTTTTACACGTGTTTTGTCTTATTAAAAGAGCTTTTAAATGAAACTGATATAATTAATTTTTTTTAATTAATGATGATAAACCCGTAATTGTTCTGCCTCTTACTCTTGTTAATGACTCTGAACCAGAACATTTTTGTGTATGAGGAAGAAATCCTTTTCAACTTGATTGACCATGGTACATTGAAATCCTAAATATATAATTTTTTTACTTTAGACTATTCAAGTAAATATGAAAAATGCTAAAAATTGCACCGACTAAAATTTGTAGCAGTAATACAATTACCTTACAATTAATATAAAAAATCTATCCAAAACTAAAACGGCACCGCATTCTCATTTCAACTTGTGTTGTTCCAATTCCCCAATTTTACTCATTTGGTATAATAAATAACATTGATTGGTTACAAGTTGTCACTTTGTGCCTGTAGGGTTTCAAGTTAATCTTTTTGATCGAATGTTTATTAAAATAATAATTAAAAACTTGAGTGATTATTACCATAAAAAAAAAAAAAAAAAAAGCCTTCATGATCACGTAATTATTCTATATTTCAGTCACTATTGACATAATTAACATAATTTTTTTTTTTTATAAATCTATTGAAATTTAAAAAAAGAAAAATTGTGCCCCATATTTTTTTAAACTTATATTTAATCATACATTCTTTCAATAAAATATTTAGCAAGTAAATTAGAAATTTTTCTTTATTAACCTCACATTCTTAAAAGGATAAAGAGACATGCACAAACACATTTGTACAAAATGTATTACACACTTTCACAAAAAGCGGGTCCCAAGCAAATTTAAAAAATGTTGGCTTGTGGTCCCCACCCGCTATTGTGGGTAGTGAGGAAGGGATTTTGTAAAAAATGTTTGTACATATATTATGGTCCTTCTTAAAAAATCACTATTATAAAATCTATTTTTTTTTTCAAAAAATAGAGCGATCTAAAAATGTATAATTAAAAAATAAAAATAATTGAATTTACGTGCAAAATTATTTTATAAAAGAATGTGATTGAAAAAGAATTTTTGGAAAAATGGAAGCAAAACATAGGCTTGGCCCCATATTTTTAATTCATGTCAAAATTAACAATTAATTTTATCTATATATTTTATAAAATTCACAACTTTTCAGCTATATATTTTATCAATTATCAATTCTACTAAAAATATGATCATCACCAAACATGAACTTAACATCTTTAGTCTCCAGCCGTAAACATCCTAGCTTTCCTACTTATAAAAGTCTCGTGACCTTTTTAATTTTTAACTAATTTTATATTTCCTCTTTCCCGTGAGTTGAGCCAGAGAAGAAGCGTTAAAAAAAGTTCACCTTATCTGATAGGTTTTTTTCCTTTCAGAAAGGGGATCGATTTCCGAAGCCAAAACCCTAGAGAGAGAGAGAGAATTGAAAATGCCTTTCTCTCTCAGGTAAATTCTTTTTCCTGTGTATGTAATTCAAATATAATTCATATATATATATATATAATAACAAGATTCCTGAATTTGCAGGGCGTTATGAAAAATTGCTAAACATTCCTGGAATCGATGTTTATGGTGGGAAACCTTTTACGCTTCGGATCTATTGCAGCTTGGATTTTCCGAATCATTGCATGCATGGGGTATGTATAAATCTCCGATTTCAGAAAAAAAGCTTTGTAATTTTTTGGTTTTATGGTTATGGGATTAGGATCTTGAAATTTTCTATCTTGGATTGGGGAAATATGAAATTCCTTTATTTCTAAGAGGTATATTTTTTAATGGGTTTGGTTAAATTTTTTAAATTGGTGAAAGTCTAGAGATGAATGGAGCATATCATATGATATGCTTTAAGGTGTTTTATAAAGCCAAAACTTTTTCTGTTTCCTTTTTATTTCCTTTAAATGTTCTTTTTTATTTTTTTGTTGTTTGATGACATCCTAACATGTTCTGGTGTGGTTTCTAAGGATCTCCAGCTGCTTTACATCTTTTGGTAGATCTAGTAATGGGCAGACGGAGTGGCAATTCACGTGACCAACTTATATTAATAACTGAGTAGAAGGCTTAATTTTTTATTGTTGATGTTGTCCTAATATTAATGAAACAAAAAATATTACTTGATTTAGATCTTACCCAAATCAGCCCATGGAATTTTCCAAAGAAAAAGCTGTGTTGCTACTGTAGTAGGACATTTCAATTTTCTGTTTGGAAGTACCAATGGAGAATGCTAATTATAGGGCCAGAAACTAAACGTTTGGGCTTATTAAATGGAAAGACCCCATGTATATCTGATAAATAATAACTATATTGCTCAACCACGAGATGAATCATGCACTATAAAAGTAATAAAAAGGAGCTTTTTGTTGAATTGGATGCAAGGTTCCATACTCCTTATTGTCAGGAGCAATCGCATTTATAGAATGCTCTTTGACAATTTGAAAGTAGGATTGAACTTCTCCCATCTAGGTTATCAATTACTCAATTTGAAATTGGTGTGAATACATGAAAAAAAAAAAGTATAATATTGTTGCTGCCTATAAGCTATAATGAATGAGAATAGGTAATTGGTTTGGGAAGAATTTGAAGTTTCTTGATACCACTAGTGATTTGTGGTGTTAAATCTGAAAGATACTATTTCATGTGAGTAACTTTGATGTTTAGTCCAGTCAGAATGACTATTCTCAATGTGTAATACCAAATTGTCTAATGATCTTTTAATGTATTATAAAAAGTAGTGTATATGGAACCTTTGTTCACATATATCTCACTCCTTTTCTGATTGATAATCTTCCCTTTTGAAATAAAGCTAAGAGGCTTTACTTTTTCTAATCACCGATGTGAGTGGACAGAAACGACAGTTTCTGTTGTCTGTCCTTGAAACCTTTTAGATTTTTATTTTTATTTTTTATTTATTATTTGTTTTTAAAAACGCATAAATTTTTTTGCATCATTGAGTGTTAGTTCTAAATTGCTAGAGTGATGATAAGGATTCACTGCAGTAGTTCAACTATAAATTCTCAGCCTATTAAAGACTGTGTGGGGGGTGGGGGCTGGTTCTAATTTGAGGTGGGCATCATGCAAGTATACTAAATCCACATTTTCTAACATCCTGGTAATAGGGAACTGTACTCAAGTGATCCCAGTATCAAATGTACTCTGAAACATGTTGTTCCATTATGCATTGAAATGAATTTGTTTCATTTTTCTTGAATTCTTTCGTCCCCTCCCTCTCTGCATGTTTGCACAGATTGCTCATATGTGTAACAAGATTTCAAGTCAACCAAGGTTGCCAAAAAAATATCACATTATTATCTTTCTCATTTTCAGAATTACATGTTTCCCTCCATACCTACTGATAATTGTTTCTGGCAATGCTGTTAATAAATTCATAAGTTAGAGCATGTTTGGGAAGTGTTTATAAATTGTTTATATTATAAATAGATAGAAATGAATGATGGATAAGTGGATAGTACTTATGGATCCTTTGAAATGTGTAATAAAAAAGTGGCTCGAGCGTTTTTAATAGTTTATAAACATGAGGCAAACATAGGGTTAATGTTTTCAAGAATTTGTGCTTGTATAGGGAGAACATTAATAAATCTCGTTTTCTTTTTCATGTATGAAACCATGCATATAAATCATGTTGTAGCATTGTGGAAAACAAAAACTAAATTGATGACAAGAGCAAAAGACCGAATTTATGTTTTGGCAATTTCTTTCAAGTTATTAAAACTACCAGAAATTTTTCCCCCCCAAAAGTGGGCAAATGTTCATGTAACTCATAAACGAATTTTTAAAAACTTTCCCAAAATGTGTTTTTTAATCAATTTTCAGGAACATGTTTGGAAATGGACCTTAAGTTCTTAACTATTGTTAATATTTTTCCATATAGAGTTCATGAAGAGCTATGATACACCGACACGGATGCATGTGTATGACATGATTCATGTCATATATGTCAACACACAATTTTCAAAAAATTATTGACACGTCACGTTGATTAAATTCCTTAAAATTTTTCATTTATATAGTATATATTTAATTTTATACTTGTTATTAATTTTCTTTTTAAAATCTTTTAAATATGAGTACTTATTTTCATTCAATAATAACTTCAAATATATAACATTTCTTCTAAAGAAAGAAAAATGATCATCGTAGAGTATTTGAAGAGTGTTGATATTTAATATTGACACAGCACCCTAGTTGAAGTGTCTGTGCAATAGAAACGACGATCTCGTTCATTCTGTGAACAAAGGAAAACCATCAACACACATTTTAAGCTTATTAAGATCACAAGATGAACATAAACGCGCCTAAAAAAAGAAAAAGAAGAAGAAGAACCTCTGTATGGCTTGACCCGCTACATTTGCAGTTATTTGAGAGCATATATATATGTATAAATTTCTTTCTTTTTGTATTTTGTGGAATGGGACGGGGAGTTGTCTCATCAGAGATCAAGTAGTAATACATGATTAAGTCACTTTCTACTGCTTCAGTGGATTTCTTACAGCTGGTGTCATTTGAAACAGAGCAGTGGTTGTATTGGATGCTGTACTAAGCCGAAATTGATTTCTGCACGTAATGAGCCCTTGCAAGGTCCGAAACATCACACTTTGACGGCTTCAAAACCTAACATATCTGAGGATTTCTGGACTACCAGCGCGTGTGAGATGGATAATAGCGCAGTTCAGTCATTTGGAAGCATCTCGCCAATAAGTTCATCAACACAAATTTATGATGCTAGCAGTTCGAACAACCCTTCTGAATATATAAATCATGGCAAGTTGATTTGCTTTGTTGTTGGCAACATAATTACTGTTTGATTTTATTTATATTTTGGCTCAGCAATTTCAGTTCATACTTTTTTTCTATCTTGAGGCTATGTATTCTTGTTCACTGTGGAATGGGATTTGTTGGTTGTCCTGCTTTGATCCGGACAATGCCTAAGAAGCCCTGATACAATATTCAGAGGCAGATGCAATCCATCTATCCATTTTTTTCTCTTTGTCAACTATACATTTCTTATTTACTTTTCCTGCTGAATCTTCTACCAGCAAATAAAATATTACTTTGGCGAAGAAAAATATATTCAGTTAGACTGGTGGCACTTTGTAGTGTGCTATGTAGCCCTTGTTTGATGGCTATTATTTGGGAAAAATAATGTTTTGAATAGTGATTTTTAGGAGAATGTGTGGTTAAAAGTAAGGAAAAGTTTTAGATTACATGCTGAATAATTTATTTTGTAAATATGTGATTGAAAATGAGTATGTAGAAAAAAAAGTTTTCAAATAATGGTTGTCCAACAGGGGCTTAATTTTTTATAAGCTGCAATAGCTGACATTACTTGTTCGTATTAGGTTTACTTAGTTTTTTATGGATGATTTCGATCTTATAGTGAAAGGCTTTGGCTGTAGGTCTTCTTCTCTGGAACCAAACTAGACAGAAATGGATAGGAAATAAGAAGTCAGAGAAATTGCCGCAGAAGCATCATGAACCCAGGTTGAGGTGAGTTGATTTCATTGTTTACATTCTAAAGAGGGACAGTGTATAAGGGTGCAACCAACATGAATGGATCAACCTGTAAATAAGGAAGTTATAAATTTGAAAATAAGGTTTCTGCTTACTAAAATGTTAACTTATATGACAACAGCAAACGAAGCCTTGTATTCAACAAATTTGGTGTTGGGTCCATATGGTTCCTTGCTACAAATAATTTTTAGAAACTTCTTACAAGTAGTACTTGTTGGAGAATTAATTTAAAGTTTTATGTTTTGTGTGCTTTAATGCTAAATCAATTTAATAACCCTTTCTTGGGAAGTGAGGAAAGAGAAATATCACAGAATTGCCTTTGCGCTCTCTATGTGTAGATACCAATGATCCATTTGTCTTCGTAAATAAGGTTCTGTGCTATGATGACCATAGCTTTATTTTTATTTTCGAGAAGAGAACATAGCTTTATTTGTTGTCAGCAATTTGTTCTTCTGCATTGCTAAATAGTGCCGGCTTTGCAGTTGGAATGCAACCTATGATAGTTTGCTCAGCAGCAACAAGCCATTCCCCAAGCCGATTCCTCTGGCTGTGAGTCTGATGGCATAATGTTTTTTATTTTGTTCGATTATCATTTCATTTATCTCATTATTTCCCTTTGAATTGGCAGGAAATGGTAGATTTTTTAGTTGACATTTGGGAGCAAGAAGGGCTGTATGATTGATATAGTATAAGCAGTAGATTTTGATTGTCGGCCGGATAGTAGGACTCAACGCTGCTGTTGTAAAATGTTTAAAGTTACTTCTTAAGAATGGATGATTGCACATAAATGGCATGTTTGGTATGCTCAACTCGATAGCACTGAATAAGAATAAGAAATTGAAATTTTGTCCATTGTACTGTGCAGTGCCGTCTAATGTGTACCAAAGATACCAGAAATGTACTGTGAATCGAATATAAGTGTGGCATGATGCCTTTTCAGTCGTGCACATTCATCACAAGTTATCGTGTTCAATACTTTATAATATATAATAGAACTCATTGCCTTTGCCAGTCTTGGCAATGGATCTTTTCACTTTTCTTCTTGTATTCTTTATATTGCAAAACAGTTTGCATATGAAATTTTCTCTGTTGTGTTTTTTTCTTAAAAATTGTTTTTGGTTAAGAAAAGTTTTGCAAAACGGTTTGCACATAAACAGTTTTGCAAAGCTTATTTTTTACTTCAGTTGAGAAAAGTTCTTGTTTATTAACTAAAATGTAGTTGAACAAACATCATCTTCTACTTATTGCAAACAACTCACAGCATGTTTAGCAAAGTCTAAATTATTATTTAAGATGATTGACGTATGTTTATTTATATTTTTTGTGGGATTCATAACTTACTATTTACCTACTATGTACAAATATTGTAGAATCTACAATTCTTTAGCAGTCAAGACACTTGGGGGGTTTGTTTGAGCTTCATTAGATTATGTAATAGTTTTTTTTTTGAAGAATGCGTGGCTAAAAAGTAGGATTTTCGAGGACGTTTAGAGGGTCTGGAATCGAGATAATTATTGGACTAGGGAATGAATATTTGAAAGATATCAGTGTGAATCTCGATTGTGCAGCTGATTGGGTGAAAGAAAATGTCGATGATGGAAACGATGAGCTTGGAAATGTTGATCCAAAACTTAGGGAAGTACTTTGTGCTGACAGTGTAAAATGTCTACAATGCCTCGATCAATTGCGTCCGATAAAATCGAGGTCTTAAGTCCACGTTCAAAGCTGTTTTTGTGAATAAATCCTCTCCATCTGCAAGGGTATTTAAGAAGGGGAAAAGTCTTAGTGTACATAATTTATGTACATAGGGGTGTCCACACCCCTCACATGGGGTGGGTCCCACCTCATGTGACAAGTGTGAACACCCCTATGTACATAAATTATATGCACCAAACACTACCCTTTTAAGGAGTGTTCTCCTTACATGGTGTAGTTTTTTTTGTATCTTGGTACTTCGTTCTAGGCTTATTTCAGCAATTCAGTGCACATTACACTCTTTTTTTCACAAGAATCCTGGTATTTATGATGCGAAGCCTAAAACTATGCTAAGATAATATGTTTGACGCCATGGTTGATGCTTCTTACGCTGCATTGGAAGAGGTCGGTTTTGGTAAAATAGAAATCATAGTTTCCGAAACTGGTTGGTCTTCCAAGGTGGACGAAAATGAAGCAGGAGCTACGGAGAAAGGACTTGCACTTGTAATTTGCATAAACGGCTACTCAAAAAAGAAAGGAACTCCTAATTGGTCTAAGACTCCCATAAAGGCTTATATCTTCGCGTTGTTTAAACGAAAACTTGAAGCCTGGGCCAACTTCTGAGAGAAACTTCGGATTGTTTAAAGCCGACGAGAGCATATCATATGACTTTGGAGTTATGGGGCTACTAGTCTACTACCTAGTTCGACAACCTAATTTCTTCTCTCCATAAAGATATGCGTGCTTAAAACGAGTTATTTTTTATTGATGGAAGTCAAAAATATTAAATTATCCGCAATATTTCCAACTTTTCATGTCTGTGTAGCAGTGGTAATGGGTTGAGCTGAGCAAGCTCGACCCTCGTTGACATGAGCTTGGCTTGTGGCTCGTCTATCAAGGGCCAAGATCTTGTGGTTCATGGCCGAGTAGAGCTTGGCCCACGAACATTTTCTTTTTAAACCTTTTTTTTTTTTTTTTCATTCGGATTTGGGATTGATTACTTATTTTCAAGTAGGTGGATATTACTTATTTTCAAGTAGGTGGAGTTAAAATTATATACGAACAACTTGTTACGTGTACATTTAATTTAAAATCAATTTTTTTCTAATATTCAAACATCGGAAAACAAAGAACCCATCTCAAGTTTTCCAAATATCGAAGCGTGCTAACAATTAGCATGCATCATTGCCTATACATGGAAACTTGAGATGGGTTTTCATTTTTCAATTTTCGATTTCGAATGATTGAGTAAAGATTTTTAGTTGTGCGAGGATTTTCCTTATGACGTATGTGTTGACAGGCTTCTTTCTCATATTAAGAAAAAGATTTGCACAATAAAAATCTTGAATCAATCATACGATGTTTTGCAATTAAGATTTGAAACCTTTTTTTTTTTTTTTTTGAAAATCCTTCTCCTTTTATCAGGTTTTGAGATCAACTCAGAGTTAAAATTGTACACGAACAATTTATTATATGTACAATTTTTTTAAAATAAAATATTATTTAGAAAATAATAAAGTTTAATTATATCACATGCAATTTGTTGTATTTTTGTTGTATTCAAAAAATGAGCATTTTATCAAGTTTTAAGCATCGTCAATAAAGTATCCTGGCAAACCAAAACACATGAAGTCATTGTGGGAACCACAACTATTTAAGTACATTAACACGTAACTGTAAGTAGAATCATTGAACCCATATGATTCAAATGTTACGTTTAGTTATTGAGTTAGCATTCTCAAAAAATTTTCAAGAAGTCATTTTTTTCTTGAATGATTTTGAGGAAGCAGAATAACTAAGTGCACTTTGAATCATTTGGGTTGAATGATTCCTCTTTCAGTTGACGTATTAACACACTTAAATAGAAGAATTGTAGAATGTAAATAAATAACTTATTGTAGAGTGAGTAATGAAGGAATAACGAACTATAGAAATTAGAATGGAAGATAGTATAGAAGAGAGGAGGTGGAATTTGTTGTAAGAAAAATGATTTAGAATGAGAAACATATATATAGATAAATAAGCTCGGGTTCATCTCTTGATGAGCTTGAACCATTCATGGGCCAAGCTTTTTTGAGCAGACAAACTACTCGGCTTGATTGCCACCAATTGCTCGGTGGACTTGAAGGATAGGCTTAAGTAACATTTGCTGGTCCGGTACTTGATTTGATATTATTATTCAGACATTATTATTATTATTATTATTATTATTCAAGTTCCTGTCTGTACAGTTGATGTTTCTACGACATCAACTTTTTTATTTATTACAAAATCCTAGAATTTAATAAAATTACAAAATTAAGAAGAAAAAGTTACATCCTCGTTGGTGGGATTTTCATCAGCTAAATCATCACCATTAAGCTGATCAAGAACCAGCACTAGCCCCATACCAAAGGCCCCATCAAAACCCGGTTTTAGTGAAATTAAGAAAACGTCTTTTCCCAACACGACATTGGTGGAGGCATCCACTTTACGTCTAATCTCAGCCACTATCTCCTTTTCCGCATTAAAAATAGTGCAATGTCTGTTGGCAAAGGAGCCTTCAATCTGGTACTCCTCACCTGTATTGGTGTACAGCTCCACTGTCACACTGAACCGTCCGATTATAGATGATCTGCGAACGCTGAAGATTGGCTTCTGTCCATCAATTCTCTCCCCTATGAAGCCTTCCCACCTGTGATGGAGACTCGGCCTCTGCAAAATAATACAAAAATAGAATATCAGTTTGACTACACGAACGTTGGCGAATTTACATAAAATATTGTTGCATGTGTTAAGACTACTTTGAATCTCATGTCACTGCTAGAACTAAAATGCTTTCTTGAGTAAAAATCGTTCCGATTTATGTCAGTTATGAGAGTATTCTATTCGGTCGTGCCCGTGTCAGTAGGAAGCAGACTCTGAAGATTAAGAATTAGTTAGGAACAGTAGGCGTTACCATGAACAAAAACGTAAAAATCCAATTCCAGTGAAAACCCAGAAAATCATCATTACTAAATCAATTTTCCTTCTATAATCTCGTAATCGTTTAACAACTCAATTAAGTTAATTTAAATATTGACTCACTGCGTTGACTCAGTGAAGAGCTGATAAATGATTGGCAATTAGTTAATCACCTTACGGCGGACAGTGAGAAGGCATTTGCCGGAGGCGTCCATGAGAACGAGTTCACCTGTCTCACGAGCATCTGGGCCATATGAGTCGACTCGGAAGATGAGTTCACCTCTGCAGTCGTAAGCTGTGTAGCCGTCGCCGGCGTAGAAAAGAGAGGTTTTTGAAACCGTAAAGTGGGTTTCGTCCTTGAATACGAACCCTTCTTTAACAATTACTCCACTCTTCATCATCTCTCTCTAAGTCTCAGATTTGAAGCTCTTAATGATAGAAATTTGTTCTTGGAGTACAGTACAAAATTCTTTGAGAGTGATCAATGTGATATATATGGAGACCGTAGAGAGAGAGAGAGAGAGAGAGAGAGAGAATTGGTCGAGAAAAAATCTAGAGCTCACAGTCATGCTACATGTAATTTTTTTTTTTTTTTTTTTTTTTTTGGATGGCCCTTGTTTGAGGCCCGTTTTGGTGAAAAAAATAAATTTTTAAATAGTGTATTGATGGTAAATGTGTGGTTAAAAAATAAGAAAAAAATTTGATTTGCGTATAATAATATTTTATTAAAAAATGTATGGTTAAAATAATGTCAAATCACTATTAAAAATATATTTTAATGGAAAAAATGAAACTCAAACAAGGACATGATTGGACATTTAAAAGAATAAAAAATAATTTCTATCCCACTCTTTTTGAATTCCAATGAAATACTCCCAAAGATGTCGATCACGAAAAGTAGACTTAACATTACCATGTAAACCAACATGTGGAAAGCATTAATATGTGAAGAGAAAGGGGTATGAAAAGAATTCATGGTTATAACGAGAGATGCTCCTTGAGCAGGGTCAAAAACAAGTGGGGTTACGTGGCGTCCTCCTATCGGAGGGTGGGGTTGAGTGTCAATCCTACCCTCCAATAGGAGGGCACCACATGGCCCCTCGTTTTTGGACCTGTTTTTGAGCCTGTTCAAGAGGTTTTTTGGGTTATAATATTGTACGGAGGAGTCAACAAACATGTCAACGAATGATTTCTGAAACCCGCACGTCGCTGAGAATCTCACGTAGAAGCTCTCTTTATCAAAAGAGCAAAATGGCAATTTTAGACCCCCAAACTTTGGCAAAGTGTAGTGTTCTATCCCTCACTAATTTTCCATCAAGTTTCTGTCACCAACCTTTGAGAAATTACCAAAGTCAACCCCTCTTCGTGGTTTCTGTGAAGTTTTTCCGTTAAGCCAGTCACGGTCTCCGTCAATTGTCCAAAAAAGAGCAACATTTAGTCCCCGTTTCACAACCATTATCTGCAAACCATGAGCGGACCTGGGGGGGTCTTGGGTGGTCACTTGACCCCCAACTTTTGAGATCCCCCCCCCTCCCCGCTTTTGTGATAAATTCATGTTTCTAAATCAAAGTTAATAGTTAATTTTAATAATATATTTTATGGATTTCTTAACTTCTAAAATTTTATCAAAATTTAATAAAAATCAGACTTTAATCCTCATCAAACAGAAGCAAAATCACAATAAATTTGAATTTTCTCTATTTTTTATTGCTCTATCGTACTATCTCCCTCACGTCTTTTACCAAAATCTTAACCCTTCTTATTTTTTAAAATTTGTTTATAATTTATCTACATTTATCACGTCAGCTACAAATATTTACTTTTAAATCAAATTTTCAACTAATTGGAACCTAAATTTACATTTTCTTCAATCATATTTGTGTATATAGCATGTGTCTAAAATGATTATATAAAATTTAACTTATATCTAATGATTTGTTTTTATTTGATTGATTATTAGTATTGAATATTGGTCATTTGTTTTTTTCTTTCGATTACCTGAATTGATTGTTTGTATCAAATACACAATTTTTCAAAATATAAATATACATTTTCTTGTGATGAGCAAAATATTAATAAAGAAATATTTTTTAAATGTAAATCTGCATTTTTTTCGAATCAAATATGAATCATTCAAAAATCAAGAACAAAGTATTCGATTTGTACAAAATTTGATTGTGCCCCTAACTCAATTTCGCTGCGTCCGCCCCTGCTTGAAACTATTTTTTCTAAATATTTATTTTCAATCACAAATTCCCACAATAAAATATTCTACATGTAAATTCAAATTTTTTTTTTCTACTACTTTTAACTATGCATTTTCTTTCAAGACAAAATAGCATTTTTTTTGTTTTAACAATCTTACCATTGCAGTAAAACAGTACGTGAAAGTTGCTTGAAAATTTAATGTTTAATTAGATGTTTTTAATTACCAAAGTCGTGCATACATTGTCAAAAAGATGGAGATACTGGTGCCACAGATGAAAGGTTATATATATAATTGTCATACTAAATAAAGGTTGGGAACCTATAAAGAAAACTTCTCTTAAATTCGATATATTTTGTACTTGAAAATATAATGTATACGAATAAGGATAAGGATACGGTGTACTGAAAAATGTAACATACTTGAATCAACCGTGGCCTATGTATAAGGTTCTCATCATGTAGATCTGCAAGCCCGAGGCCATCAAGGGATCTCCGACATGATTCATATACCAATGTCAGATTGTCGAACACCCTACCATCGACTACTTTCAATGATCATTGGGAGCCTCAAGCGGTATATCAATCCGAACGTGAAGTATAATATGGTCCACCTATAAGATAATTTTCATTATATTCAAAATTATCATCTCGTTCTGCTACTGTATGTCATGTCCAAGTATTCAACATTGTCTCCCTTCCACTTTAACTATTGTTTATTTTTTGAGTTATACATGAATACTTCTCTCATATCCATGCATACGTATGCACGTAAACACCATAGTATAAATATACACCATATATGAGTCATAAAGTCACGTGATACCATTTCAACATTTGCACATATATAACACTATCATAAAGTTGAATTATATCTCGAATACTCCAATTCAAGAAAATCAATGTTTTATGTACATTTCCTCACCAACATGACATTTCAAGAAATCACATAAGAACACATTTTGATTATATACCATATTTTTTTGCATTGTATACATGATCATTATTTCCCTTCATGTCTATCCTCATTTATGCTTCGTTCTTTAATATTTTGTATAAATCATCCGCTTGAAGTCCAAGCAACCAAGAATCATCCTATACATCATATTTAGAGTCAAATATCATTTAAATGGAGTCCATTGGGGTTAGAGATACCTAACACGGGATTTTGAAGTGAAACTATGGATGTGGAGTCGAAATCTGAGAACCAACACGGAAACACGTGGAATGGCTAGAGTGTCACGATTGATATAGAGATTTTCATCAAATATATAATATGCCAATGAAAAGCTTATCGAGTCAAGAATTTAACTCCTTCAAATAAATTATAAAATCTACATGTGTTACGTTTAAAAATCGAACAATTTGTTCAAGAGAGAGGGGTTTGACCTCTTCTCAAATGGGTCGTAAAATTCCACGTTTGGACTGCATTTTTATAAAAATACATTTTTCTTTTTTTACTTTCAACCACACATTCTCCAATAAAATGTTGTTACACTTAAACCCAAATTAAGAGTTCTCAAATTTATTGAAAAAAGGTGCATCATTTGAAAGATAATAATTGTAAGTATGTTGCATATTAAAAGGAAGAAAATTGATTAAAAAAAACCTTGAGAATTATGTATACCAAAATTTTCTTTTTAATCTTTAGTAATATCTCTTCCAAGAATCTCTTTATGTTTTATCATGACTTCAACCTACTATTAGACTAATCTTGGTCAATAAATAATATTAATATGTTTAGTCCATTTAAAATCATGTATTTTTTATTTTTATTTTACTTTTTAAAATATTATGCATTATTATTGTCAAAATACGTATCTATTTATGGCTCAAATAAACACATAAGAAAGTATTTATTTATTTTGAGGATAAACATAGTGTTCGTAAAACATGCAATGTAGCTATGAAAATTATTAGAACGACTGAAATATTCAAAAACCCGAACAATAAACTCTATCAAGAATATTCCTTGTAACTAATCTCAAAGTAGTTATATAAAAACATTGCAAAGAAGCATGTTTAATCGGTCGATTAAAGACATGTTAAACAAAATAGTGTAACTTGGATGATGCTATATAGCATTATCAGTGCTTTGTTTGAATTTAATGGAATTGTGATATTTCGAATTATACCCTTTCACTTTCTTATATAATGCATGAGATAAGCATAATATTATCATGCCATTAAGAATCAAATTTCAAATAAGATTTGACAAAAGAAAAAATAAAATCCTAAGCAACAATAGAAAAAATGCTGGTTAAAGATTAGTATAATTGAATAGATGCTCTTCTTTGTGTATAGATAATGAAGGTCGCCACTGAATATATTTTAACCTACTTTTTGTGAACTAATTAAATGATTTTGTTGAGTGCAAATTCACATTTCCAAAGTTTGGACAAATAAGAGAATATTTAAAGAGTTAGGTATGCATGCATTGCTTGTAGTTGACACGCAAACGTATACGTGCTATTACTATTAGGGTGCAAATATTATTGCATTTAAAATATTGCACAATACTAATATTTAATTATAAGAAAAAAGGGGAAGGATTACAAAATAATGTTTTGTTGTTTTCACTTTATTTGGTTCTGCAATTCTTAATTTATATACAAACACATGGACGATTCTAGTGGCTGAAGATAAAATATCTTGCAAAATGAAGAGATATTGTTGTCAGATACTATGTATTCCTTAAAGGCTTAGAACACAAAAGATTTTCTTTCAAATCGGTTGATCACTTTGCTTCTATGATGTACAAGTTGAGTAGACTTTTTGTCGATTAATGTAGACAAAATGTATTTGATGAAACTTTATTGATGTATATTTTTGGAATGAGTAATAGTATTCACAATCGTTGATTGCAGTAATCGCTTTAAGTGACATTTTACATAGTGATTTTTGATCTGATGTATTAATGTAGTCGTTTTTTCTTACTTCATATATCAAATTACTAATTGTCATATGTATCCCACGTAGAGTGATTGCAAATAGCATTATTATTTTAGAATTGAACGATAAATTTTCCCATGGGGGTGTTTCATTGCCAGTGACGCACGAATAATTACTACTTTCATAGCAATTTTGGTCCAGATTATTTCGTTTACTATGTCTTCCTTCTTTTATCATAATCTTCGTTGAAATTATTGCTTTAGATATATCATACTATTTGTATAAGGAGCTCGTAGTTCATTGAATAAAATGAACAAAATTATTAAAAAAGGACAAATGAAATATTTATTTATTATTCTGTACCACACCAAAGATTATAAGTTCCAAGTGGAACAAAGTAATATAAAAGGTCCCAGATTCATTCTTTATTCCCACTTTATAAAGGGTACAGAACAGATGTCAAATGGAATAATTAGAAATGCGATGAGCATCAGAAGCAATGAGAAAAAATAAGGAAATGTTTGGCTAAGCTTATAAGTAGCTAGTTTAGACTTGGTATTTTTATCGTTTTGTTAATATATGTGTAATCAATTGTCGAGAGTATGCCCTTTAAATGAATACTCAAACTTTTGTCCAGAATTAGTGCATGTTTGTCACCCTTTAAAATTATTTGTTATAGTGTCATTCTCCAACACACATTCACACAATAAAATATTTTACGCACAAATCAATAAAAAAATTTTACTTTTTAACCATACATTCTCCAAAAAATACAATTCAAGACTCTTTAATTTTCCAATTAACGAGTGACAAACGGGGGTTTAATGGTTTTGAATCGAGTAATTAATCCTTTAACTTACCTTCTCTTTCAATAAATAAATTAAACTTACTTCTTTGCTCGATCACTCAAACCTAAACATGTGTACTCAAAATGGATAACTTATCTTAACAAAGAATAATTGTACGAGATGCAACGTATCCAACTATAACAACTAAAAAAAAAATAAATAAGTCACGCATTTTCTGGGGGACAACGGTAAAATTAAAAAGAAAAATTATAATAACGAAAAATATAAAAAGGTCAGTTTTGCTAAGAAAAATTAGAAAAAGGACCTAACACCAAATTTAGTGAGCTACTTTAACTTACCTTCTCTTTCAATAAATAAATTAAACTTACTTCTTTGCTCGATCACTCAAACCTAAACATGTGTACTCAAAATGGATAACTCATCTTTACAAAGAATAATTGTTCGAGATGCAACGTATCCAACTATAACAACTAAAAAAATAAATAAATAAGTTATGCATTTTCTAGGGGACAACGGTAAAATTAAAAAGAAAAATTATAATAACGAAAAATATCAAAAGGTCAGTTTTGCTAAGAAAAATTAGAAAAAGGACCTAACACCAAATTTAGTGAGCTACATTAACCAATAAAAAAAGAAAAAAAGAAATTAAAGTCTTATCAATTGTACATTTAAACGAGTGTATGTATGGTCTTTCACCCATGAAAGTTACAAGATAATAGACAGCCCCCACTCGTATCCCTTTCGCAACCCTCAATTGCTAAACGCCATCCTTTGCTTTACATCAGTGGCCAATTCAGTAGTTTCAAGAAACCTAATTACATATCAAGTCACGTCAATTTGCCACCATTCGACTCCATGTCTTGCTGAATATTCGAACGCATGGCGATTATTGTGCCAGCCCTCTACAAATGCGACCATAGCCACCCAACTGCGAAATATTCAAAATTTCATGATACATGCACGCGTATAATGGAAAATGGTCAGAAGAGTGAAAGCAAACAAATATGTTGGGATGGTTAGTTCATATGTAGATCACCAACTCTCAACTGCGACAAGTGTTAATTATCCATGCAGGGCCGGCCTTGGGGCCTAGCCACCTAGGCAATCGTCTAGGGCCTCAAAAAATGTGGCTTGGGTCTAGGGCCTCAAAATTCATAATAGTACCATTATACTAGCACAATAGTCCATGTCTGAATCCATTATACTAGCAATTCAACAGGGCCTCAAAATATTGTTACACGTGAAAAAAAAAATATAGGACCTCCAAATTCTCAAGGCCGACCCTATATTCATGACATAGTTTCAATCCCTCACACCAAATTCCACATGCAATTTGAATTCTTGAATTCTTTTATGTTTATAACAACCATATGCATATGCATGGAATCATTTTGTCATTGCATTGCAGCCACACAAGAAGTTGCAACAGCCTATGACATGCCTGCAATAGAGTACCGGGGACTTAACGCCGTTACTAATTTTGACCTTAGTCGTGACATTAAGTGGCTACTACCTACCAAATATAATACTCACCGCCCTCAACGAAACCCTTCTAGTCCTTTGGAACCCGGTGCTCCTCGATGCAATTTTCCCAATGACATACAAATATCGTTTGAATTCCAAGAATCAAGTAGCTTTGAACGTGACATTATCTTTGGTTACTTGAATTCCTCATTTGCTTCACAAATATTCCAATGTGAGCTTGATGCTTAATTAGCTAAGTGCGTGTGATCAAATAATCCAGGAGTCGACACTGTAAGTATTATGCCCTAGGTCCAATCGACTTTGGACATAAATACTTTTATATATAATTAATGCAATTAAAATGGCAGATC